GAGAGAGAGAGAGAGAGAGAGAGAGAGAGAGAGGGAGAGAGCTAAAAATATTAGAATTAACATAAGTTTCACTATTTACATCATCTAGCACCTTGTTAACAGATCTTATTGGATGCTCAATAGAGTTCAGAGTAAGAGTGGGAACTGGGCCTGCTAGAATAAGTTAAGACAAACTAGGATCAGGGACAAGGCCGTGTAAGCTGAGGAAAGAGGCTGATTGGGTTTAACTGAGACCAATGAGGATCAAAGTGGGGGATGAGTAGGAATAACAACAAGGTCAACTTAGAACAGAATGAAGCTGGGTAAGATCAGGGATGAGACCAATTATAATTAGGTGTTATAAATATGTAAGAGTGACTTTAAAATCAAGGAATCATTGAATATCTTTTCTTTCTTCATTGGTGTGGCTAGCCTAACTACCAAACACTCTTAAATTAAGCTTCTTTCGTATTCTTTAATAAATTTGGAGAGATATCCATGCCCTTGTCTGGAGAGTTGTGCATAATGAATAACCAAATTATTGATGCACGACATTGGTTTTTGACCTTGTCCTTAGCCATCATGTTGGTTTTGCATCATGTCACATACTCATGTCATCACCCACCTTATATAAAAGGGAGAGGATGACACCCTTATATAGCTTTCGTGAGACTAATTTCAAAATCAATTTTTTGAGATTTTGTTCCAAAAATCTGAAACCTAATTTTCTAACACCAAGTTACTAGCTCTAGGAATATAACCTATGACCCTTACATTTCTCTAAATCATGAGAAATATATACTTTTAATACTACCTTCCCACTCACCTTTCAATTATATATACTTCAAGCTTCTGTTTTTCTTATTGCAAAAAGATTGATATAATAAGCCCTTTTCACGATCATTCTCTCAAAATGTAGCAAGGAAGGGTCAACTTCCTATCATATTGTCCCTAAATTTTATGTAGGAGTATTTTCGTACTTCAGGAGACAGGCTTTGACTTTCTAATTATGAGGTATTTATCTCAAGAGGATTCCATTATCATCATAAGTTGTTAACTCATTAAGCGAACAACTCGACATAACCACCATTTCATCTATTAACACTGTAATTCTATAACTCAAGTCATTTTGTAATTCATGTTCATCATGTTTGTTAACATCATTCCAATCTATGTTAGTACTACACAAGCCACCAACTTTTGAAATTACTTTATTATTTATTATGCCATACTAACTTGATGAGTCATTGCTAGGTGATAACCTTATCAATATAATGATGATTTGATGTCTCCTTACATATGATATATTTTAACACATTGTGTGATGATGATTTTTCTTTGACCTGTGAAGTTATTGACCGCTAATTTCTACTTTTTAATCATTAATTTCTTACCTATGCACTAGCTCACTTTCCCACCAACTCACAAGCATCCTGTGCGCCCACTGATTTTTCTTGGCTCTTTGACATTATTATTATTATAGAGTTAAAACTGAATTGAAATGGTGATGAAAAACATATAATTAGAAAAATGATGATAGTTCCACGTATAGTTTGGTTGGTCCTTCTTTAGGTGATTGAGATGACACAAGTTATATATAGTTGCCAAGGTGGCATAAGAGGGTCCTATAGGTGATTGAAGTGATCATGATGGATCTTCGCCTAGAGTAGAAGTAGATGACCTAATAATATGAATGAGATGATGTAATAAGATCATAAAAGTGAGAAATATTTAATCAATGTAATCTTTTTTATGGAGATTACATGGGCTAATGGTGGGGATAATGTGGTATTTTAAGTTCAAGGAGTCTATTAAAGATGATTGGGCTTTTCCTCTTTCTTGAGATGGAGATTACACAATTTAAAAGCAACATAAGAAGATTTTTGATGCAGTTGAAGGTGGATAAAATCAACCTTCTTCTCAAAGATTTGAGTAAAACAAAGCAAAGCTTAAAATTTAAGGATAAAGCGTTAAAAATTTCAAGTGGTAGTTATAACTTTAGAATTCTCTCACAATCAAAATGTTCAAGTTGTTTTAAAAGGCTAGAGTTGAGAGACAACTATAAATTTTGAGAGAATATTTCAATCGTTTTTAATTATACCATAATTTTTCTTATTCTTATAAAATGGATGAACTAGATATGGCACTTGCCTAATCATGCATTAATTGGATGATTCAAACAATGGGCTTATTTGATTGACTAGCTTAGGCTAAGGCATCTACGGGATATGATATCAATCATTAACATAGTCTCCAACCAAAGAATCCAACTTAACATATGCACGTCAGAAACACATCAACACTACTCTAGAGGAGATCCAATGAACATAAGGACACATGAGTACGGCTAAAGAGGGCCCATATGTGGAAGTTCAAGGGCCCACAAGTGGAAGGAAAAGGGCTTACATTCGGAAGACACAGGGCCCTCGAGCAAAAAACTAAAGGTTGAAAAGAGGAATGCCAAAGGACTTGGTTAACTAAATACAACCCCTAAATCGAGGCTAGAGGTCGACCGAATGAATGCCATCCAAACCAAAGACCAATGTCAATCGAGTTGAGTAGAGTCACCAAATATCCTCTTGCCACAACCTAACAAAAGAAAGAGACCGTCATCATCAACCATCTCACTAACACCCTTGAGATTTCTCATCAAAAGTCGAGAACTAGTCATAACATAATTAAAAAGAGCATCCCGAAAAATCACATGATCAAGGAGTAAGCTACCTATCAGATTACAGTGATTTACTCTTTGTCTGAAAGCCTTGCCTTTCTTCGTCGACCAGAGTTCCTTGTCTAAGAATTAATACTGCATAGCCGGACTAGCATAACCGTCGAGCTAAGTCTGGCAGATTGAGTCAAGTTTGACCGACTAGAACATCGTTCAAAGCCAACCGACTTCTTTGATTCAACATATTCAAACAAATTGGTCTTAATTGAGCCAAGGCTAGCCGATCTCAATTGATCAAGGGTAGATGTTACTTGCAAAATACCCAAAATATTATGTAACAAAGACATTAAATTTGAGAAAAATATGCAACTTCATATATTGTTCTCGCTCTTCTATAAATAAGAAATCACTTCCTCAGAAAAAGCTAATCCATGATTACTATTATTGATGCATGCTATACAATTCATGGCAGTAGAGCAACAGATTATCGTCTTAGCGTGAAACGAAGATTCAAGACACACTTAGCAAAGAAAAAAGTGACTAATAATGACACCAGGAGTTTTTATGTGGAAAACCCGAAAAGAAAAAAAAATTATTGGGTCTGACAGAGTTGAAGAGTTCCCTATAATAAGATGATTACAGTTGCAACCACTTGTCCCATGAGCGGGAAAAGGTTACTAGATTTGCCAATTTACAACGTTGATGTGCTGATGAATTTATTACTAGGGACGATCATAGACTGATAGCGATTGAAGAAGTTTGGTTGGCGGTGATCGACGACGTTTAGCGGTGGTTGAAGGAGGTCAGTGGTGGTCGAGGACAGTCAATGGTGATCGAAAACAGTCGACGGTGGTTGACGGAGGTTAGTGGTGGTCGACTGCAATAGGCGAAAGTCGACGACAGTCTTATGTGGTGGTGCTAGACTTCAGCTCATTCTCAAAGTTTCAAGCTCTTCATCAGATCTCAAACTCTCTTCTCCTCATGAGAGGGGTAGGGCTCTATTTATAGTTTTCTAGGTGGAATTAATGTAGAAATATAAACCACTTCGCTTGGACGGTCAGGAGAATTTTCTTCAATCAAATGATGTTTAATGGACATTTGAGTGTCTTAACGATGTCAAAATTGAGCAATCTTGGGTTAGTTGGATTCGTCTTATCGAGACACTCGATTCGACTGTAGCCTTGCTAGATTCAACATCTTTTGGACCTTCCAAATATGCTCGTAAACCATCCAAAATTTGTTTAATATCTTGATAGAGCCTTGATTTGACCTGGATTAGACAAATTTTAGTATCATTAGGCCCGTCTCATCGAGCCGATCAGTTTAACTGTAAGTTTGTTGAAATCATACATCTGGATGACTTTTTATCAAAAATTGAATATTTCTCGCTCGATAAGTTATCTTGAGATGCGTGTCATGCTTCAAGATACGCGCCAGATGATGAAAATTTGTTGATAGCATATCAATTATTATTCATTACCGTGCACTTCCATCTCTCTGTCCCGTTTCACACTCTATTCTTTATGTGTGATTCATGGACTGATTCAACATCTTATATCTCTCAATAACATGGATTCTATATAGTTGATCAATTGAAATTTTAATGGCAAAATTGACAACAATCATACATCACAAATTCTTAAATATGAAATGTTAGCCATAGCGACTACATTATGAAATTGAAGTATAAAACGACAAGAAACATTGTCATCATCTCAATTTCAGCGCAAGCAAAAAATTCTTTTTAATACGTCTCACATCAAAATCTTTTAAAGTAAAGATATTTAATATTCAAAATATTCAGATCATATATTTGATTATTTATCTCTTATCTATATTTGTAAGAAACAAAATAGTATATTTATAAATTTCGTTTTTTATTTTTTTTACATTAAATTTAAAATCTAAAAAATATTTATAATAATTTTGATGCTAAAATTATAAATTTTATTAAAATCTAATTATTTACAAACATATGCATAAAAATGGCATTCACATTCCAAATGACATCAATCTCCGTTGTGCTTTCTTCGACAGCTATGCAGTCACACGCGCCAGGCGGCACAAGGTATCATGTAACCGTCTGTATAGCCGTTTTTGTAGCCTGGGTTAGTCCGTGTAGTTAACATTTCCGGCCATAGGGCGCCCTTTTCGTCACTGCTTCTCCTATAGGCTACCATGGCGATGACAACACTAATAAATACCGAAGGAGTTGGCTCAGCTCCATAGCTCGAGAGAGAACTGTGCAGTATTTTGCTAAATCTGGCAGCTCTAACTACAATCATCGCGGTTGCAGGATTATTTCTTACACTTCCAGGGTTTGTTCTTTCATGCAAATGTGATTTTGACATCCCTTTCTGGATTTCATGTGGAATTTGCTCTTCCTCTGTTTTTTCTTTTAGATTGTCAAACATTTTGATGATATCTCCTAAAAAATGGCGTAAGCCAATCTCGGCACCCTTACAGAATTATGTATCAGAGAAGTAAAATGTAAATTTCATCAATTGTCAGAGTTTTTATCGGAATATTCATGGATCAATGAGAAGTTTCAAGGTCGAGAAGGGAATGAGAGATGAAATTTGATGTTCTCACCGGCTCTGAATCCATGCATGTTAATGGAGCTGCTTGATTTTCATGTGTTTTGTTAATTTGCATTGGTGTGATACTGATGCATAGGTTGAACAAAACCAATCTGAATGGTGAAGTTTTATTGATTTTAGTTGTGTTTTTGTAGATGGGAGAAGCGGCGGAGACATATACTGTAGATGATGCCCTGATTTCCCTTGGATTTGGGAAGTTCCAAACCCTGGTGCTTATTTATTCTGGAGTGGCTTATGCTGCAGAAGCAATGGAAGTGATGATTCTATCTTTTATTGGTTCAGCTGTTCAATCAAAGTGGAATCTTTCTCCTCATGAGAAGAGTCTTATTTCAAGTGTTGTTTTTGCTGGCATGCTTGTGGGAGCGTATTCTTGGGGTGTAATTTCTGACAACTATGGAAGGAGGCAAGTCATTATTTTACACCTTGCAAAGCTAGAATTTCTTCATTTTGTTTCTATTGTAAATGCTTTATTGATTCTGATAAATAGATCTAGCTTTGTGAATAATTTTGCATTTTAAGTTAATAATTTTCCAAAATAATTGTGCCATTGTTCTTTGTAAATTTGCTTCCTCATGTGCTAAATCATGTGTGAGAATCTAGGCTTGCAAAAGATAGATACAGCTTTAATTTAATATATGTAAAAAGTTATAGGTGATTTTTGGATATAGTTTCAACTTGCTAATGTTCAAGGAAACAGTTGGGTACTTTTGCAAAACACCTGTATATGGGTTTTTTTATGTTGTCTTCAAGATGATGTATTTGTTGGGAAATCAAGCTTTATACAAAAAGTTATAAAGAGAAGTTGATGGGTGGAAGGGCAAGAAGTTCCAAATAAATTAAAGTTCTTACCTGTTAACTGTATCAAAAAATAATACTTTGCGATTTTTTTTAATGTAAGTTTTCTAAAACAGGATCTTCACCTATTTTTTTGTCGGAGAAGGGAAATCGGAGAAGAAAAGTTTGGATTTCTATCTTAGCAAAAAATAGTAATCCATTTTTAAAATACTTAATAGTGAGAATTGCTTCCAGACAGGTCACTAAAAGCTTTGTTTGCTTCAATAACTTGCATTCTGTTAAGCTTAAGGTTGATAATGACTTTGGTCATTACCATACCTTTTCCCACTTTATTTGAGTGGCTGCTGGGGTTGTGAGCTTCTGTCTTTAATAAGTGAGGGTTAAAGAAAATATAAAGTTATTGCAGTCCACTTCTATTCATGCGCAAAAAAAGTTTTTTGCGTGATGATAAAGGGGCAGCTGGGAACATTGGGTTTTTCCTTATGGTAGATACCTTACAACTATGTCGATGAAGAGAAACATGCATGTGGATTCTCTAATATATTGCTCTGAATTTGATTCTGAATGATTATCACTTCTTAACCGTTCTAGTTTTCTCAAAGAGGCAAAGAAAGGGAAGATTTTCGTACATGCCACTCAATTCCCATGTATTTACATTTCTAACAACTAAACTTCAATTTTAGCATACATATCACCTTACCTAGGCTTGAAAAGGTGTATTTCTCTTTTTAAAAGTCAAAATGGTGGTATTTTTGATGTGATTTGAAAGATGTTGGTGGTTTAAATGTAAAACATGAAGTTTAGGTGTTAGATATGTAAATACATTGGAATTGCGTGGCATGCATGCAAATGCCCCAAAAGAAAAATGCTCCTTAAATTTTTATCTCCCTCCTTACATATACTAACTTTGCAGGAAGGGATTCCTCTTTACAGCACTGGTGACTAGTGGGGTTGGTTTTCTCAGTACATTTTCCCCAAATTACATTGCTTTAGTTATTCTTCGTTTTTTTGTTGGTGTTGGATTGGGAGGAGGACCTGTTCTTTTTTCCTGGTGTCTTGAGTTTGTTCCTGCTCCAAATAGAGGTGCTTGGATGTCGGCATTTTCTATTTTCTGGAGTGTTGGCACAATCTTGGAGGCTGCTCTTGCATGGGTATGGTTCCTTTCCAACAACAAGAAACTTCTTTCGATAATTTTTTTTTTCTTTAATAGATTAATACTTGTAGATCAGCTCTCCATGGTATTATAAAAAGTGGTTAAATCAGATAACCTGTTTGCAGCTACGAGAGATTTCTAATTTTGCTTGGGACTCTTTGGGAAGCATATCTTTTAGCCTTTTGTTTTAATTTTCTTTAGTTGTACTGTTTTGAAGAAGTGGCATTTATTTATTTCACATGAGCAAAGTAGAGCTGTTATGTCACAGCTTCAATGCATTGTGAGAAACTCCATGTGAGAAATGGGTGGCTGGCTGCTCTCCACTCTTTTTTGGATTTTCAAAGATGAGCACCATGCTGGTTTTATTGGTTTGAGATAGAAAATGTAAACCAAGATATAACGTTGACTCAAAAGTATTTAATTTTGCTTTGGCTTATCAATTTTATGGATACCCTTTAGATTAACAATCTAGTGGTGTTGACCTTAGTTATTCTTGATGGTGCCCCATCGAATGGATCATTTTTTATCTTCACTTAATTTGACGCTATTGGATGGTTTGATTACAGGTTTTGTTTATTTAATAGGGTGGTTCATGCTCGGTCAGGTATCATTCCTCAATCCTTAGTTGTAGTACAAAAGACTTAGTAATTTGCAACCTCGGTAAGTATACTTCATTGCTTTAATAGGCCAAGCTCATAGAGGAATAAACTTCCATCAATCCTGCACAACTTCCTTTTTTCGCCACTTCTTGAGAATTTATTCTGTTTGTTCCTCTTCAATTGCTTTTTATGTAACTTTCTTTCAAAATTTAAAAATAAACATCATAAAACTTCTAAAGAAATAGAAAATTGATAAATCAAACCTTCTTTATGTTTTGTCTCACTAGTGCTCTTTTTCAACTCTGTGCTTCCTTTAGTCAAGGAAGCGGGACACTTTAACCAACTTAAAGGAAAAAAAAAAAGAAGAGCATCATGACATAGTTTCTTCTTCCTGCCATTTTCACTCACTTTTGTCTTTTGGCTCTTTGAAATTTTCAACATATTAGCTTAATGATTATGTTTGAATATTTCTCTAAGAAGCAACACTATGTTATTAGTCATGAAGGTAGCTAAGGTTTTATGATATCTCAGTTCATCAATGGAAAATTGACAAATTTGGCTTATTATTATGTTGATCTTTATTTTAATTTTTTTCCTGTAATGCAATGCCTAGTTTTCTTTTGGAAGCTCGAACTTGACAAATTCTATTTTGCATTGTTTTCTTTGAATTATCAATAATCGTAGCTCCCACTTTGCTGGTATTTAATGTTGTATTCTTAGCATCTTGATTGCTTCTATAAATTATCATTATAGTTGTTGTATCTAACTGAAAAAACGGTGGAAAAATATAAGAGGGCTTGCTCTTATTGATGCAAAGAGGGGTATAAATACCCATTACAGGACTTACTGGTAAGGAAAACAATAAAAACAAAATAAAGTAAGTAGACAAGGAAATGAATAATAACAAATATAAGAGACAGCTAATCTCTCTAATTAAGGAGAAAAATAAATAGAGATTCCTAAGATCCCTCATATAATTTATAACCCTTTAAATATAGAGTTATAACAAATATGAAATATAATCATCATTATTTACGAGATCTTTCATCATTATTAACTAGATTCTCGTGTTGCACTTTGAAAATGACTTTGTTAGAATATCTGTTGTTTTGCTAGTAGTAGGTATGTAAGACATACATATCACGCCACTATCTATCTTCTCCTTGGTGAAATGTTTGTCAACTTCTATATGTTTTGTTCTGTCATGTAGAACTGGATTATGAGCTATAGAGATTGCAGCCTTGTTGTCGCAGTAAATTTTAATAGGTGCAGGTATAGAAATCTTCAACTCTTCCAAGAGTCTTTTTATTCATAATACTTCACAGAGTTAATGTTCCACCGAGCGGAATTCTACTTCAGCACTACTTCTTGCTACCACACTTTGTTTTATACTTTTCCAAGTAACCAAATTTACGCTTATAAAGGTACAATAACCTGATGTGGATCTTCTATCATTTACATCTCCTGCTCAATTTGCATCTGTGTAGGCCTCTATTAGAAGATGTTCTCCTTTTGGAACAAAAGTCCTTTTCCAGGAGTTTTTTTGAGATATCTCAAAATTTGGAATACAGCTTCGAAGTGAGTAGGTCCAGGTGAATGCATGAATTGACTCACAACACTCACTGCAAAGGCTATGCCAGGTCGAGTGGGAGCCAAATAGATTAGTCGCCCTACCAATCTTTGATAGCGTGCTTTGTCCATTACCTCATTAGCTGCTGTCGTTTTTAATTTTATATTAGGTTCAATTGGCGTATCTGCTGCCTTACAACCTGTCATTCTTGTTTCTTTGAGTAAATCAAGTACATACTTGCGTTGGTTGACAAAGATTCCCTCTTTGGATCTTGCAAACTCCATTCCGAGAAAATATTTCAGCTTTCACAAGTCCTTAATATCAAGTTCGGCTTCAAGTTTTCTCTTCAAGTTGTTAATCTCCAGAGGATCATCCCTGTAATGATTATGTCATATACATACACAATCACAATGGCTACTTTTTCTTTGATGGAATGTTTGAAAAAAAGTGTGATCATCTTGGCTTTGAGAGAATTCATGTCTTTTGATAATATCACCAAAATGCTCAAGTCAAGCTCTAGGAGACTGCTTTAACCCGTACAAAGACTTTTCTAATTTGCATACTTTACCTTTTCCAAATTTTTCTTCAAATCCTGGTGGTAGGTCTATATATACTTCTTCTCGCAATTTTCCATTTAAAAACGCATTTCTTACATCAAATTGATGAAGTGGCCAGTTAAAGTTAATTGCAAGAGAGAGAAGAACTCTAATATAGTTAATTTTAGCAACAGGAGCAAAAGTCTCTTGGTAATCAATATCATGAGTTTGAGTATTTCCTTTTCATACTAGTCTCGCTTTGTATCTCTCCACACTTCCATCAGCTTTAAATTTTATCGTGAACACCCATTTGCACCCAACCATCTTTTTTTCCTTTAGGTAGATCAATGATTGTCCAAGTGTTATTTCTTTTAAGAGCATTAATTTCTTCCATCATAGCTAATTTCCAATTCGGTTCACCTAATGCTTTCTGGATAGTTCTTGGAACAAGCATATGAGAAATCCCAGACACAAATGCTCTATGATTTTTTGATAGTTTTTCATATGAGAAGTATTGTGTGATAGGATGTTTCGTGCTTGTTTGGATTCCTTTTCTGAAAGCAATTGGAAGATCAAGATCAGGAGTGGAATTAGAGGGAATGTTACTTTGAGTTGTAGGGTTATTATTCGGCAAATGTGATTGAACATCTGCTGAGGAATAACTAGGACTGTAGTAACTTTATGAAATTTCTTCCTAGTATAAACTTGCAGCTCATGTTGAGGATTATTATCCGTTGGAAGTACTTCTCCCCGTCTCTGATAAGGTAACATTTGACAAAACAGGATTAGTAGTGCTGACCCTAGTTTCTATATCAAAATTAGTTAAAGAAATATGTAAAGTTTCCCAAAAATTATGTTCTTCAACTAAGTTCTCCCCCTGAAGAAAATTATTTTGAAAAAACGGGTGATCGTCGACAAACTTGACATCCATGCTCTCAAAAAATTTCTTTTTGATAGGATTAAAGCATTTGTACACACGTTTATTGAAAGCATAACCAATAAAAACACATTTTTCAGTTTTGGGATCAAGTTTTGAGCGAAACACATTTGAGACATGCACATAACAAACACATCCAAAACTTTTAAAGGGAGATCAGTTGTTCTCCTATATGTGAAAAAATAATTTTTTAAGATTTCTAAAGGTGTTTTAAATTTTAGAACTCGAGATGACATTCTGTTTATTAAATAACACGAGGTAAGGAGTGCATTACTCCAAAGATATTTAGGAACATTCATGGAAAACACAAGTGCCCTGATAACTTCGAGTAATTATCTATTTTTTCTTTCAGCAATATCATTTTGTTGTGTTGTGTCACGACAAGTAGATTGATGCAGAATAGTTTTTCCAAAATAAATGTTCTCAAATATTTGTTGAAATATTCAGTCCTATTATCCATTCTTAGAATGTCAATTTTTGTTTGAAATTGATTTTCAATCATGTGCAAAAAATAATTAAATCGTTGTTCAACTTCAAATTTCTTTTCCAATAAATACACCCAAGTACAAACTTTTTTTTTTCCAGAAAGTGTGTTAACTTTGGATGTGCCTCAAACATCACTATGCACCAAATAAAATGGTTTTAAAACTGAATATGATTTTATTGGAAACGAAACACGATGACTTTTAGATAACTTTTAGACTTTTAGATAAAATACACGCTTCACAATGAAGTTTTGAACAATCAATACTTTTAAATAATTTAGGAAATAAAGATTTGAGATTTGAAAAATTAAGATGTCCTAATTTCTTATATCATAACATAAGTTGATCATAGTCAAAGTTTGAACTTGTACTATCTAATCCATGAGATGTTTTATTCGCAGAATCAGTTTTATCATAGTAGTACAACTTATTTATTTCTCTAGCAGTTCCAATCATCTTCCCCGAGTTCTGATCCTGAAAAACACAATTGGAAGGAGAGAAAAAAATTGAATAATCAATCTTTAGACAATTTACTAAAAGAAAGAAGAATACATGGAAGGTTTTGAATGGAACATGTAAGACAGATTTCAAAGAGGTTTTTTCTGAAATTTTAATATTTTCTTTTCTCGCAATAGGTGAAAAACTAGCATCATCAATTCTGATTTTTTCGGAATCGGAACATGGATAATATGAATCAAATAACTGAGAAAAGCTTATCATATGATCAAAGGCTCCTGAATCAATGATCCAAGGAGTGATACTTCCTAGAAAAACCAAAGAATTATTACCTGTTTGTGCTATAGAACCGATAAGAGCATTGGATGATGAGCAAGATTTCAACAGTTTAAGAAAGATAACTTAATTACTCTTTACCAAGTGGAGATGACTCAACCTCATTTCCGGTAGGTGTGCTATGTTCACCAAATTTTTTTCCCTTACCACCATTAGGTGGTTTACCACGCAATTTTCAGCATTTTTCGTGAGTATGGCGTGACTTTCTACAGTAGTCACAGTGCAGGTTGTTTTTGTCTACTACATGCTAGTTGTGAGAAGTTTTCTTGCTTACTTGAGCTTCAAAAATAGCCAACGCTGATCCTTCCACGAACTCGGTTGAACCTGCAGTCTTCTTTCCCAACATCACATGTCTGTCTCCGACTCTCTTCTCTCCTACTCTCTTCTCTCCTCACCTCCGCAAAAACTTCACTAATCGGAGCCAGGTGATTTCTTCTAATTATTCGACCACGGACCTCATCATATTCAACGTTTAGACCTGCAAGAAATTTGAAGATTTGGTCAATATCCACTATCTTCCTATACTGGTTGTCGTCATCGTTTAATTTCCACTCATGATCGTTGAATAAGTCCAGGTCCTGTCAAATCCGCTTAAGGGAATTGAAACACTTTGTCACAGAATTCTCACATTGGCAAATTTCCCCAAGTCGTATGGTCAACTCATAAAATTGGGATTGATTTCCAAGATCAGGGTACATTTTTTAAACATTGTCCCGTAACTCATTGGCTGTAGATAACACAGATAATTTGCTTTTATCTTTTCAGTCATGAAATTGACCAAGCATGTCATACCATTAAGTTTTCTGCATCCCAAATGACATAAGTTACGTCATTCACGTCAGACTGTTTAGTATCACCTGTGATATAGCCAATCCTTACTCTTCCTTGGAGATACATGCGAACAGATTATGACCATCAAAGAAAATTATCACCATTTAATCAGATTGTTGTGATCTGAATGAGATGATTTTCAAATGTATTTCTCTGAGGTTCGGATTGAGATGGCTGAAGAGGCTGGCTTGTCCTAGACGTGACTTTAGACATTTTAGAGATGAAGGACGATGAGTTTGTTCGAGCCCGAGATTCGCCCACTGAAGCAAAAGATTACCGCCTTCGCCCGCCAAATCAAAAAAGATTACCGTCTTTGCCGCCAAAAGGACTTCGAGATGCGGAATCGCTTTGTCAACCACGCGTGCCATCCTTGCTAGCGAGACATGATCCTTTCTCAGAGGAAGACGCTACTGCGGATTTCCACCTTCAAAGGATTACCGCCTTCGCGAGACGGGAAGAAAGGAAAAGCGGAAGGCAACACAGAGGATTACCGCCTTCGAGATGAATTTTGAGATGCGGACGACGCCACAGAGGATCGGACGCTAATGTAGCCGCCGCAAGTTATCGCCTTCAGAGAATTACTGCCTTCGCGAGACGGGAAGTAAAGAAAAAGCGAAAGACGCCACAGAGGATCGGACGCTCTAATACCATGAAAAAACAATGGAAAAATATAAGAGGGTTTGTTCTTATTAATGCAAAGAGGGGTATAAATACCCATTACAAGACTTACTGGTAAGAAAAACAGTAAAAACAGAATATATTAGACAAAGAAAGAAATAATAACGAATGTAAGAGGCAGCTAATATCTCTAATTAAGGAGAAAAATAAATAGAGATTCCTAAGATTCCTCATACAATTTATAACTCTCTAAATATAGAGTTATAACCTAAATATAGAGTTAAGGAGAAAAATAAATAGAGATTCCTAAGATTCCTCATACAATTTATAACTCTCTAAATATAGAGTTATAACAAATATATAATATAATCATCATTATTTACGAGATTTTTCACCACTAACACTTCCACAAATAACATTATATTTTACAACATATAGAGCTCATTAACTCTATTCGCCTTCAAGACAAACGATGCGCCGTGTTTATATAAACATAGCCATCAAAATTTGGCTTATATGTAAAAAACATACCTAAATTAAAATTAATGTGATTAGAATTTGTTGTGTTCAAAATCTATTGATTATCATATCTATTATCTTTTATAACAAAAAAAAATCATTAATTTCCTAATTAGGAACATTTTTAACAATACTTGCTTTTACTGACTTTTCCTTTTTTACCTTCATTTGTTTTTTGCTCTCTTTTCTTCAAAAAAACAAAAAAAGAAAAAAAAATTGTATTTTTTTAATAATAGAAGTAATTAATCTCTTTAAGCTTATTTTGAGATGTACCCCTACCATGGTTTGATGAGAACCCTTTCTCATAGAATCTTATTCTATGTTGCAATAAACCATCACATGATTTGTCACTTTCCTTGAATTTAAAAATCATTTACTTTGAAAAAAGGTAAATTCTTGACAACCTTTATGATGTTAGGATTACGATCCTATAATAGGATATCTTGTATGCACTTTTAAAATGGAGGCAAATAGCATAATAAAAAATAATGCTCATCTTTATCATCAATAATTATTACTAAATTCCTCGAATCTCAAATAATGAAATTATACTTATTTAAATATGATTTAATAAAAATCCCTTTTTATACATGAAGCAAATAGTTGCTTCTGATAACAATTATTGGAGAGGCTTTTTGTCATACAATGATTTTAGCAGGAGTCATGAATCTTTTGCAGTTTTTTTTTCTATAACATTTGTCAAGTCCTCATCCGCTAAATACAACTGAATCATTGAATATTCTCATTGATTATGTCTTATTTTCTTCACTTGCAATTTCAGGCATTTTGCTATGTCCCGTGAGTGTTTTATAAGCTCTGTTGGATAAATACTCAATGTTTCTTGGTTCTCCCATGTAAACATATATTTGCACTATCAAACTTCTGATTCTTAAACGTCATGATCATTTTACTTTTTATAGTCTCACTCAAATACCCAGCTGTTAGGAAAAGAGTGATTATAAGCTAAAGGTAAATATGATGAACCACGGAGTAGCTACAAAAGAGAGATTATGTGGTACAGCTTGAGTTAGTACGTCCACAGCCATGTAGAGATCAAATAATCCACTAAGCTTTAAAAGAAATTCATGAAGAATTACAATTTATATAGAATTAAAGATAATGACAACGATACCACTTTGTCTATCTAAGAGAAAATATAGTCACTACAAAGATGAGGGCTAGACATCTTCTTCCTTGATGAAGTTAGAACTCCAATTGCAACCATGAAAAAAAAAACTTGTTTTCTTTTGTGAATGTCACCCTTCTTTTCTTTTCCTCTTCCTCTCCTCTCTTGCATGTTTTTTTCTTGTGGATGCTACATGAGTAAGGATTAAATAATTTTATATTATGAAGTATCCATCGTCTAATGTTAATTATCAACCACTATTGAAGTTTTTTGTAACCTTTGTTGTGGACTTCTATGATAATCTCCATTTAGAACGTGATGATACTCTTCATTTAAAACTTTTTGGTAGCATCTATTTTTGAGTTTTTGGTGGCCATCGATTAGGAGTTTGTGATAATAACCTTTTTTAAGATATAAGATGAAGTCTTTTTTAAGATAATTATTGAAATTTTACTTTCACGCTTAGAAATGCACCCACCTTATCAAGCTTCAATGCAGCCATGACTCATCAAGGCTTATAAACTATCATGGTTTATTTAACTTTTGAGTCCCAACATCTCCTCTAAGTGCCTAACAGCTCTCCATGCTATGCCAACTGGTTACTTTGTTTATTGGTTACTTCATTTACAAAAGCTTTATCTGAGAGTAGGTAAATATCATAACTTACATTATGAAATCTGATAATTTTAAAATTAACAGCTCTAAACTGTATATATACAGGCAATCATGCCAACATTAGGCTGGAGGTGGCTGCTAGCACTTTCCTCTTTGCCTTCATTTCTGTTGCTCATATTTTATGCCTTCACTCCCGAATCACCAAGGTATCTCTGCATGAAAGGTAGAAAATCTGAAGCACTGCATATTTTAGAGATCATGGCAAGAATGAACAAGAAAGCACTTCCTACTGGTGAACTTATCTCCGATCATAAGGCGGAGCCTGACAAGCTTGATGCGAATACTGATGGCTCTCAAGCAGCTCATGCTGGTCAAGTCCGCAAGATCGGAACTTCATTTGGTGAAGATGTGGCAGCTAAGGTTAAGTGTGTAGGCTCTCTGTATAAGCTTCTATCACCTAAACTAATCAGAACCACTCTTCTTCTATGGATGGGCTTCTTTGGGAATGCTTTTACCTATTATGGTGTTATCTTGTTAACCTCTGGGTTAAGTGATGGAACTTCAAAATGTCAGTCATCATCACATAGTAGTTCCAAAGAGGGAACCCGACTTTACAAAGATGTTTTTATCACTAGCTTGGCTGGTAAGGCGCCAGATGGTATTTCCTCTTTTTTGTTGGATTTTGCTGAACAGATTTGTTGTTTGCATTAAGTGGGCTGTTTAGTAACATTATATTTGTAACATTGCAGAGCTTCCAGGGCTCCTTATAGCAGCTGTGATTGTTGACAGAATCGGTAGAAAGCTTTCAGTTGCAGCCTTACTATTTGTAACTTTTGGTTTTTTGCTTCCATTGATCTTTCATCATAAAGAATTGACTACAACAGCTCTTCTATTCGGGGCTCGGATTTGTATAACAGGAAGCATCACCACTCTTTCGATATATGCTCCAGAGGTTAGCATCTAGAACACAACTCTTCTGTTGGAATCATTTTTCAAACTCCTAATGCTGTGTTGCTGTTGAAATTTAGTTTCCAGTTTATTTTTGTTTTAGTTGTCTTTTTTTAACTACTTTATTCCATATGAATGGCACTAGTAGTTTTAAACATGAAATTTTGAACTAGTTGAACAAAAGAAATTTAGAACTGAGGCAATTATGAAAGTTGTGCAAGGAAAAACAAATTAAAAATCTATTCAACTTAAATCTACCAAAAAAGAAAAAAAAGGACATTTTAATTCCTGAATTTAGTAAATCTAATTTCTTCTCAATTCCTCTCAGTTTGTTTTTAAATCCCTCAGGATTTAGTAAATCCGGATTTACAAGATTTACTAAAGTTGTTGCCAGACATCCCCAGGGGCGGTGATTCAATGTTAAGAAGCTCTAAACTCATGCAGTCTCTCCTTAACTTTAAATTTGGTGTTCAAACTCAAGTGGACTTGTCCTTTGAAGCAATAAATAGAAAGATACAATGAAGCACATGAATTCTCTTTAGCTATGATAACTTCAAGGAATATTTAGATACAAAACACTCAATGCTCATGTATTTACATCTTCAACAGCTATACTTTAATTTTTACATTGATACCCCCTTACCTATGCATGAGAAGGTGAATTTCACTTTTCAAAAGTTACAATTGTGGCATTTTTGATCTGATATAAAAGATTTGGCTAATATAAATGTAAAAAAAGCAAAGCTTAGGCGGTAAATATGTAAATACATAGGAATTGGGTGGTATTCATCTAAATTTAAGGGTCACTGACCTCCGTTCATCTTCATATATTTCTGTTATGTAGATTTATCCTACATCAGTAAGGAGTACCGGTTACGGAACCGCGAATTCGTTTGGTAAAATTGGCGGGATCATATGTCCCATTGTTGCGGTTGGCTTGGTGGATGACTGCCATCTGTTAGCAGCTGTTCTTCTGTTTGAAGGTGTCATATTTCTTACAGGCCTGGCTGTAGTCTTGTTCCCTTTTGATACCAAGGGCCGGGACCTGAAGGATTCTGTGGAGAGCTCGGTCTCTCCTGCCTGATTTTTCTTCATTTCAGCTTTCTGCTTTTTCTTCTCCAGATTTTGAACTTTAATGATTGTCGATAATATGAGAATATGCAGCATCATATTATCGTTACGATCAAGAATGAATCAGCCACCTTGGAGCAGTTTCTCTTCCAAGAGATTTCATTCGATATATATTTGTTGTGAGCAGAGGGTGTCATGTTTGGGCCCTCCATCACATTGTATCTGTATCTTTCTTTCTAGTTAATATATTAGCCTTTTTGGGCTTTCAAAAAAAAGTATATATATATATATATATATATGTTATATAGATATGCAAGATTGTTGATGCTGTTTGAGTGAGGCTTTGCAAATATTGGGCCTTTATGTAAAATGCTTTAATGCTTAATTGCTTACTGGCTCCACATTTCAAGAATCTGGTGACGAAGTGCAATTTGGGTGCTTATGAGATGGCTGTTTTGTAATTTTGTTTTGCTGATTGTTATCATGCATTGTTTGCTTATAAATTTTTTTATCGCTGTGTGTGTATATATATATATATATATGAAAGAAGTAGTCATTCTCTTTTATTGACCTGATATAATGTCAAGTATCTCATCGTATAAAAATGTTGATTAGCATCTCTTCGCCAATGAATTAAGTACATAATAAATTTTAATTAATTCCACAAACATTAAAGAATCTAAATAAGCCTATTATCGATGTTTAATCGCTTGTCGGTCGCCTGTCGCTTGCTATTGTCACCACTATATGCCATGCTCCGCCGCCGCAACCGTCATCTGTAGGCCACCATCGTTCGTTGCTTACAACCGCCTTCGCAATCATCTGTCACCTTCAACACTATCTTCGAGCATAATTTACTTCCATTTTTTTTCAAACCAAACAATAAAAAAAATTTCGTATTTCTTTTACAACAAACTTAATAACTTCAATATTTGAAATAAATTAAATTTCAATTATGTTTTTTTCTTTTACATTACAACCTTTTTTTAACAAATTAAACAGCCCCCAAGTAAAAATGTAATATGTCTCCAACCTAAATTCAAAAACTTCGTTTCTTAAAATCCTTTAAAATATAAACATACATCACTCCTTACTTTTCTGCATCCGATACACGGAAAAAAATTGCATGCGATAGACGAACACAGTGTTGTGTATGATATTGGGTTATACCGAAGGTACAAGGGGTTTACATCCGCGGTATAACCTCTTGTAACCTCCCTGTAACTTACTGGTAAATTCTTAATATATGATAACAAAAGCGCACAACTTATTTTAGGTTACAGGTAGGTTACAGGGAGTTTACAAGGGATTATACCGCGAATGTAACCCCCTTATAACTCTAATATCGTACGCAGCGCTGCATACGTCTATCGCACGCAAATTTTTTCCCCGATACACAATCAAATAATTACAAATTTAATTGCTTTTTTAATCCGAATTATTGTTTATATATTAACTAATAATATTTTTATCTTAAAGTCCTGATAATTTTTAAAGGCTGATAGTTTATCATAAAATATAAATCCTTTTCTAGATAATTAGCTATTTAATCCAAAAGTCCTTTCAACTTTGCTTAATTTCGCAGATAGAATTCGTATTCAAAATCAATGTAATATTTTTGGACCGACTTCGGAAATCATTGCTTGTTTTACGCTACGAAACTATTGCGCAGTCAATGTCAATTAACAATAACTTATAGTTTAATGTAAAGAATGGCAACGTGTCCTACAAATAAGCAGCCATTATTGGTGTTATTAACTTATTCTCATGAAATTGATGCCTGAAGCCTTGACTTTTCACCTAAAGAGACAAGAGAAAATATTACTTTGGAGTCTTAAGGTACGTCCGGATTACACCAGAGATTTTTTTTTTTTTTCTCCTCCACTGTTTTCAGTGTATCACAGTTGTTTATATTTAAATATAATAGAATGATCGATGATGAAATGAAAAATTTAAACGAAAAAATTAACACCAGAAAACATTACACAACAGAACACACAGATTTACATGGTTCAACAAATTGCCTACGTTCACGGAGTTGCAGAGAATTTTATTACTTGAGGAATTTATACTAGTTAATCACGTTTACAATTACAGGAGAAAGTCTCTCACTTTCTCACTCTCTCTTCTTCTCTCTCTACACCGAGATACATCGAAAAAGAAGAAAACAAGAAAGAAATATATGGGAGAATCAAACCTGCTGCTATTGCTTTTTCCCCCAATCTAAGGCCTCACCGAATTCCTACCAACCAAAGAGAGGAGCAGCTGAAGCCTTTAGCTACGTTCCTTTTCTTCTTTTGTCTCGAAAAAGACCCTAACCGACTGGGCTCCTGTTCGCGACTTCGAGTGAAGCAGATCGAAGTAGCAGTTCGTGAAATATGAGAGGCGGGGGGCGGAAGAAAATAGCGAGAATAGTTGTAGCCTCCTTTTTTTTATTTGTTTAAACCGGGTCCCACCTCAATAAATCTCCCACTTGGAGATCGGTACACAGACAACGTCTTTTTTGTCAAACTAATATCCTCCACTAGCGACGCCTCCCTTTTCTTCAAACGTGATATCCTCTATCCCTGTAACTTAAGATCACTGTCTTCAAATTAGAATACCAACTGAAGCTGCACACAACTTCAGTTTCTCAAGAGTAACACCCTTAGTCAACATATCAACAGAATTCTAGCTTCCATAAATTTTCTCAAGCAACAACCGTCCAACATCCAACAATGATCATATGAAGTGATACTTGATCTTAATGTGCTTAGCCCTGGACTGAAACGCTGGATTCCTGACAAGGAATATGGCGCTCTGACTATCACTGTAGAGAATGCCATTCTGATTCTTCTTGCTCAATTCTTCTAAGAAGCCCTGTAGTCATATCATCTCTTTTGCAGCCTCTGACGCTGCTATATACTCTGCTACTGTAGTAGACAAAGAAACTGTCTTCTGCAGATTAGAGCCTCATGATATTGCAGTGCCACCAACAGTAAAAATATAGCTTGTAGTACTTCTTCTTGTATCAATGTCTCCAGCTAGATCAGCATCAACATAATAATGTATCTCTGAACTCTTTCCTGAGAAACACAAGCAAGTTTCTGAAGAGTCTCTTAGGTACCTCAAGATCCACTTCACTGCTTCCCAATGTTCCTTTCCTGGATTACTCATGGATTACTCATGTATACTCATGTATCTGCTAACAACTCACACTGCATGGGCAGAATCCAGTCTGATGCAAACCATATAATACATAAGTGAACCAATAGCTGAAGCATAAGAAACCTTACTCATGTGGTCTTGTTCCTCTTCTGACTTGGGTGACTGATTCTTATTGAGTCTGAAGTGACTTCCCAAGGGTGTGCAAACTGATTTGGCCTTATCCATGTTGAACCTGCTAAGTACATTTTTCACATACTCAGCCTGAGAGAGTCTTAACATACCTCTGACTCTATCTTTGACAATTCTCATACCAAGGATTTGCTTTGGCGCTCCCAAATCCTTCATTGCAAAGTGTTTTGACATCTGCTCCTTCATATTATTGATCTCATCAATATTAGTCCCTGCAATAAACATATCATCCACATGCAACAATAGGATGATATAAGAATTGTCAAAATACCTAACATAATAACAGTGATCTGCCTGACGTCTTCTGTACCCTGCACCTGTCTAGGAGCTTGCTTCAGGCCATACAAGCTCTTCTTCAATCTACAAACTAACTCTTCCTTTCCATATACCACGAACCCTTTAGGTTGGTGCATGTAGATGTCTTCTTCAAGATCCCCATGAAGAAAGGATGTCTTCACATCTAACTGCTCAAGGAAGAGATCTTTCAGTAGCCACCATAGATAGTACCATTCTGATGGTTGTAAGCTTCACCACAAGAGAGAAAATCTCAGAATAATCAATATCATGACTCTGCTGAAAGTCTTTTACAACAAGTTTAGCATTGTACCTCTTACTGTCATCATGCTTAGTTTTCACCTGGTACACCCACTTGTGTATTTCCTTCTTAGATGGAAGTTCTGTCAACTCCCAAGTCTGATTTTCTAGCAGAGAATTCATCTTCTCCTTCATAGCTAGCTCTCACTTGCTCAAATTTTCATCTTGCAAGATTTCTTCATAACTCTAAGATTCTGTTGAGGTTCTCCATCATCTGTCAGCAGAATGTAATTCAAAGTTAAAGAATAACGTCGTGGAGAACGCCTATCCCTCTTTGACCTGTGAACTACAACTGTAGGGGTAGACTGCTCTGAAACTGACTGTGGAACAATAGGAATGGGTACCCCAGACCCACTCTCCTCGTCACCTGCATCTCTGCCCTGCAATGTGACCTCTCGTAAATCATCAAATCTTACCAACTCAGATTTCTGCAGTACTGTTTCAGAAACTATACTGGACTTGTACTTGTACATAATATTCTCATTGAAAATCACGTTCCTGCACCTTATGATCTTTCGACCTTGATCATCCCAGAAAAGATACTCATATGCCTCGTCTCCATACCAAATGAAATAACACTTCTTTGACTTAGCCTCAGGTTTACTTCGATAAGAAAGACATCCAAAAGTCTTAAGGTGAGAAAATTTGATCTCTTTCCCACTCCAGACTTCTTTAGGTAATTCATAGTTTAATGGAACAGATGGTCCCCTGTCGATCAAATAAACTGTAGTGCTAACTGCTTCTGCCCAGATAGTAGGTGATAGTACAACTTGCAATCTCATGCTTATAGCCCGCTCATTAATGGTCTTGTTCATGCGCTCTGCAACACCATTTTGTTGTGGTGTTCCTGGAATGGTCTTCTCGATTCGAATGCCCTGAGCTGCACAGTACTCCTTGACCCACCATCAATGTACTCACCACCATTATCAGACCTCAGACATTTCAGCTTTAAGCTTATATCTGTCTCAACCATTGTCTTCCAAGTCTTGAACACACTAAATACTTCAGATTTATGCTTCAATAAATAAACCCGTACCTTTCTGCTATGATCATCAATGAATGTGACATAGTAATGAGAGCCTCCAAGAGATGTCACTGGAGAAGGTCCCCACACATCTGTGTGTAAACCCGTACCTTTCTGCTTTCCTACCTTTGGTGTCCTGCCACTTTTCAAGAAGCTGACCTTTCTATGTTTCCCCGTAATGTAATTTCACACATGCTGAAAGCAACTAACTTCA